TACATATTCACTAAATCTGTAAAAATACAGTGAATTGTCATTATTATCAATAATAGAATAAAAATTATTTAAAAACACAAAAACAACCATGCTCACCCATTTAAGACCCTGAATCTGGTCATAGAAACCCATATTTCCAGGCGCATCGGTATCGGGTCCGGCGTATAGGAACCCCAGCGGTCCCAACCGGTAGTTGACGGACACAAACACCACCCCCTCTGTGGCGATGGCCTTCGCGTCATACATACCGTTATATATGGAGCCCCCTCTCAGACCCCCGCCGTATATCCAATACATTACGGGCACCAGTGGTCCGGCGCTGACGTTGTTGTTGCGATGGGGCGCCCATACGTTCAGATTGAGACAGTCCTCACCAGAGGGGCCGTCACCGCCGAAACAGGACAGTTGGCCGTGTCGTTGGGTAGCATCGAAAATACCCTGTTTATATGGATATAGGTTTTAGTGATTTGTATTATTGCCTAACAATAATATGGTTACAATAATAATAATGTTTATGTAATTACTTTTATCACTTATGAAAAACTTATGAATCAACTTTTTTGTTCACTTAGTTTTTAACATTTTTATCAGTGATAAAAGCATAACAAAGTATAAATTGTTATATTATTGTTATAATAATATTACCGGTCGTGGTTTGGCCAGTGGTTTGGTGCGGGCGAACCGTAGCGGCCCAACCGGGGGCTCAGCATATGGTATACCGATAAACATATCCACCTTTTGGTCAAACACATCGATGGTCTGTCCCCTAACTGTGCCCGAAGTGGTGGTCACGTCGACAGTGGCGTAACCGGCAATACAGGCTAACCATAGGATTGACGATAAATACAACGAGATTAACATTTTTATTATTGTAGCTGTTTGTTTGGTTTATGTGTTACTACTGTATTATGATCTGGGTTATTACAATGCTTTTTATACACAGTATTAGTACCACGGTACTATTTATTTGAGTGCATTATTTTTACATGTACAACGTTTGGGAACTAATATTATGTTATTTATCAATTTATCTCATATTATATAAATTGATCAAGGTTTACCTAACCGAGAAAGACAGACAGACAGAGAGAGAGAGAGAGAGAGAGAGATGCTTGGGGTACATTTTATTTTATATTCAAATGTCTTTTCATGTGAAGTGTTAATTCAGATTTCTGGTGGAAATATTGGTTACAATTTCTGAAACGAGAGAGAGAGAGAGAGAGAGAGAGAATTTTTGAAATATTTATTTTATTTTAAATTACTCAATAATTGTTTATAATATTCAATTTTTAATAGCAGCATAATTATTATTATAAAAAATTTGTAATGTGCTATAAATTAGCCTTTAATTAAGCCTATAATTAATACAATTAAGTAATGATAATATTATTAAGAAAACCTTGTTCACATAAACTTAAAAACAAAACTTTTAATAATAATATTAATTATACATGCATTAAAATTTAAGTGTTTATATAATCAGTTGTTTACTGTAATACATATTCACTAAATCTGTAAAAATACAGTGAATTGTCATTATTATCAATAATAGGTTAGAGAAAACATCCATCTGTTTGGCGGAAATAGTGATCAGATCATTGTATTCGGCGAATCGGCGGGCAGTTGGTCGGTGTCAGCCCTCGTGCTGTCGCCGTTGGCCAACGGACTGTTCCGGCGGGCAATCATGGAGTCGGCGGCCGACTATCATAATCAAGTGGCCGGCGGTCTATTGACTACTGAAACGGCGCTTAACGAGACATAACAAATGGCCCGACAGTTCAATTGGCCAGGCATTCAAACAGCGCAAGTATAATACAGGTATGGCAAACATAAGTGTTAGTGAAAGTGGTTTGTGTTGTACATGGTTTGGCAGATGGCACATGGTGATGTTAGATGTTATGTAATATTAGGCATGATTAGATTATGAAATGTTAAGATTGATTATTTTGTTATATGTAAAATAGAGAAATTATTTAAATTGTTATATTTATTTATGTATTTTCAAATAATGATTCTGTAATTCCTGTTTTGTAACAAAGCGTTGATTACAGTTATTATGAATACATTTATGAAGTTTTATATTCAGATGTCTTTTCGTATGTAATATTAATTCAGATTTCTGGGCAAACCTTTTGTCACAATCATTAAAATGACAAACAAATGATTTTAATACCGAATGTATGCGTTTGTGTCGAATTAGATTTGATTTCAAACCAAAACTTTTGCCACAATTTTCTTCATTACATTTGAATTTACTTTCATTTAAATGAACACAACTTTTGTGTCGAATTAAATACTGTTTTGTTGTAAAACTTTTGTGGCATTCATTGAAATCACAAATAAATTTCACATTAAAATGACTGACATTATTGTGTCGAATTAATCCAGCTCGGTGTGCGAAAACCTTATTACAGTTATTAAAATCACATTTAAATTGTTTTATTTTTGAATGAATTAATTGATGTGAATTAATACAATGTTTATTAGTTGTTTTATATTGACATTTAGGCCAAAAACAGTGTAAATAATCATCAGATTTAGTAATGATATGATAATTGTTTAGCATTTTATCACTGATTTTACATGAATTGCAATCAATTGTTTGATTGATTGAAAAATAATCATTATTTTCGCATTCAATCGCTTCACACAAAACACTTTCACTAACACTTATGTTTTCCATACCTGTATTATACTTGCGCTGTTTGAATGCCTGGCCAAATACACTGAATTTTGTCTATTATTTCACACAAACTCTTCATTGCATTTAATTTACTCTTCATTTCAATCAACGAAACACTTATTAATTTTGAACACATTTTATAATTCAAATAAAATTTCTTTCTAACTAAACAATAAGTTAAGCAAATTACCATAAATTTAATTAAATAAACAATAAATATAATAAAACTAAAGTGTTGTTCACTTGAGTTGTATTGAATTAAACAATTTCCACGTGTTTTCAAAACTGCATTTTCATGACAACCAAAACCTGTTCCCAGATATCAATCATAAGATCTCATCAAAAGCTCATACAATACAGTAGTGTTGGTCACTAACTAATGCTCTGAATTATAGGCTTAGGTTAGAGCCAATCAAACGGTGTGATCCAATACAGTGGCCAATCAGAGCGAAGTTAGCGGAGCAGTAAAATTCATAGTCAGATGCGGCTAAATTATGGTCATTTTTATCGGCGGTTTAGTCTTATTAATGCAATTTAGTTTTTGTACTATTTTTATGGTATATTATAAGTTATGATTCATAATTTATGTCAATTAATATTATAGAGTTTATAAACGATTATCACATAACAGATCCACAGATGTTGTGGTCGAAGAGGTTTGCACTCATGGAAGACATGAAACACCGCTTCTCTCGAAGACTACACCAGAAGTGACACCACTTTAGACCACATCTTACGGCCGTTCGCCCGAAGACTGCGATTATTATTGTTGTTATAATTAGATTTAATCAATTGTTTATTAATTTATTATAAATTATAATTTATAATATTAACTCAAGGAAACATTAGTATTTAATCATCAGAATAATCATTAGTATTTAATAATTCCAATTCTATTTTTGAAATTTTTAAAAATCAAGTTACTCAATTTAAATAATAATAATAATAGTTGATAATTTAAAAATATGTGATTAAATGTGTTTATGCTTAACGTGTTGTTTCAATTCACTCGATGTAACAAACCGTTGATTACAATTATTATGAATACATTTATGGCTTTTTATATTCAAATGTCTTTTCATGTGTTCATTCAAATTACCTTTATGGGAAAAAGTTTTGTTACAATTATTGAAATGACAAACAAATGGTTTTTCTCCCAAATGAATGCGTTTGTGAACAATTAGATTGCGTTTTGTTTGGAATCTTTTGCCACAATTTTTTTCATTACATTTGAATTGTCTTTCATTCAAATGAACACAACTTTTGTGGAGAAATAAATGTGTTTTCTGTTTAAAACTTTTGTGGCATTCATTGAAATCACAAACAAATCTCACATTTAAATGATCGGTATTTTTATGTAAATATAGACTTTTAATATGTTTGTAACTTTTATTACAATTAATAAAATCACATTTAAATTGTTTTATTTCTGAATGAGAGAATTGATGTGAAATTAACCGTTGTTTAATTTGTGTCTTGAATTGACATTTAGGCCAAAAACATTGAAAATAATCATCAAATTTAGTAATGATATGACAATTGTTTAGCATTTTATCACTGATTTTACATGAATTGCAATCAATTGTTTGATTGATTGAAAAATAATCATTATTTTCGCATTCAATCGCTTCACACAAAACACTATTATTTGTATTCAAAATACACTGAATTTTGTCTATTATTTCAC